TTAGGCTGCTATCGATCCAACATCCCAGGTACTTAAATCTATTGACCTGTTCTAAAATGTGCCCATTTATTGTGCAAAGTTGAGGTACGTTTTGGTTTTTTCGGATTTACATCACTTTGGTTTTTTAAATGTTTATTTTTATACCAAATTGCTCACAGGTCGAGTTGGTCTTGTCGATGAGTCGTTGTAGACCTAAGTCGGAATTAACACTGTATCATCGGCGTATCTGATACTGTTGATATTTACGCCATTCACATTGACTCCATCCTTGGAATCCTCCAATGCTTCTTTAAATAGAAACTCGGAGTAAAGATTAAAGAGCAGAGGCGACAGAACACATCCTCTCTTCTCAACAACTCCCCTCCTAATTTCTACTTCTGCGGATGTGGAACCATCGATCCTAACTCTGGCGTTTTGGTTCCAGTACAAGTTTTTTAAGAATTTGATGTCTTTTCCATCTAAAACGACTTCTTGCAAACGTTCTAATAGTAGGTTTTTCCTCTTGTTACTATTCCTTTTTACACGCTCTTTTTCTTGGGGTGGGGGCATCAAAATTTTTGGTGAAAGCAGAAAAGCTGATATGGGCCATAGACCAACCTGTTGAAGTAGAGGGCACAGGAGAAGATGAGGATCAGTATCGTAGCGAGCGTAACAGTTTGAAAACTCTTTCAGTTTCGTGGCATATCTTGTATTTTCTTTTATGAAATTTTCTGTTGGTTTTGAAAATAATCGGATAAATTTCATATTTATATTAAGCAACTTGTAGTGAACTAGTAAAACCACAAAAATATGATATTGTTTAAATCTATTATTCTGTATGAAGAGGAAAAATAGGTACTATTCGTTTCATATCTGGCATCTGTACAACCAGCTAAGTATTTACTTGTCTGATTTTAAATTAACTTTATTAGTAATCTAGTTATGTTGCCGAGAAAATTCTGGTGCGTTTATGTTCCTCTTTGTAAAAAATGCGACTAGATTAAAGTAAGCACAAATTCATTAGAAGAAACCATAAGTAAACGAGGCAATCTATTCTTATAAGTATTATTTAGCCTATTTTAAACCCAATGTAGATTGTGAATACTACTTTTTGTGATTTTTTGAGATTTGCATTATTTATTTTGTATGTTATTATAAGAGCACGAAGACCACTTAGATTGAAATAATTTTATATGTACAATATGTTTAAGTTTAAGTTTTTTGCATCCGTTTCCATTTTATTTTCTAAAAGAACATGCTGATACTATCCTGGTGCCACAAATAGCATATTTTTTCATATGAATTGCATCATGGCCACGTTTCAGGCTGATAAGTGTTCTAGAAATTCAGCTAAAAAAACAATTCTTATTTTGTAACTTCAAGGGACTATAACTTTTGGATTCAATCAATTTATTTTTGTCCTCGGAATGCGTGATTTAGTAGTCGATTCTAGAGCCTAAATGTGCTTATAGATATGCGCGCCGCGCACTTAACGCCGCGCGTCCAATGTTTGTTGAAATTTTTAATTTTTTTAACATGTTTTTAACTTTTGGTTAATTATTAGTATGGCAGGTTCTACCAGTAATATAGTATGTGAAATATACAAACAAGAATAAGGAGAATTACTACCTTCTTTTTATAGAACCGTACGTTTAACAGACATATAAAATCTAACAAATAGTGAAAACTACAAAGGTGAGTTTATAAAAGTTGTTGAGATTTTTTTACAAAAAATTGTACTTCTAACATGTAAGAAAACGCTTTAAAAGTGCGTGTTACATCAACAATTATAACGCTAATGCAAGGATTACCATATACTTACACCTACTTAAAATTGGTATTGTTTGATTATATTTTATTTAATCAACAAATATTTTAAAAATAAATCAATTGAGTGGTCTTCTAATTAATAATATTAATATTTTTCTATACTCTTTAAACTGTATATTATACAGATCGTAGTAAGCTTATGTGACATTAGTAATTTGAATCGTACTTTTATTTATTATAATAAAGAACATGTATATCTTTTGTGTAAACTGGGTTTTATTTTTCCTTGCCGCCTTTCCTCGGTTAGATTCTATTAACTCCGGGTAAAACGGGTCTACACACGTCCCGACAGAACTGAACTTTCCAACCATCCCTGTTGCTACACACGTTCCGACCAATACTATAGTGTATTTTTATGTATGAGAGAGTAATAAAACAATAAATTATGTATGCAAATCCCTAAACTGTTGATACGGGTGACTCAATGAAAAACAGATATTTGTCAACAAGTTTACAGAAGTATATAGGAAAACAATTTTAAATTGAGTATGACCACCAGGTATAAAGGTTGGAGCAGAATAGAATACAATAGTTGTGAGGGTTACTAATCCTTAAATAAGGTTGCCAGTGTCGGAGTGATGGAGGTTAACAGGTACTAATGAATTTGCAAGAAATGTAAGATGTTTATTTTATTGGTTATATATAACCAATAAATAATAAGTACCTACCTATTTGCAAAATAAAGTTTAATTCCTTAGATAAAATAAAACGTTTTATTTTATCTGAAATGAGTGCATTCCACGAAGTAAGGGTTTCAACAATCAAACATTTAATTCTTTAATTCCAGGAATCTACGACAGTAATTGACTAGATAATTACCTTCTAAACTTATTCCACAGAAAATGTGATAATGGGTTTTTCCATTTTGTAGAAAGGTCCAAGTGGCGTATTCAAAATTCTTAACAGTTCACTAAAAGTAGGTACTTCAGTTGCAAGGTGCAGTTTATTGTGTATACTAGTGTTATGGAAACATTGGAAGTGCCGTGTAAATGCCGAAAAATTGGTCCTTTAACAGTTAATGAAAAAACATTGATGAAACCGTTGAGTTAGTTAGCAGTACACTTGGTGTTGGGAAATCTACGATTTACAGAGTTATTAAGAAGAGAAATGTAGTAGTTTTCAAATGCCACGTAATGCTCCAGGGAAACCAAAATTTCAAATAGAATATCATTTTAAAGAAGGACTTCGACGGAAAGTGCATGAATTCTTCTTTAGACAAGAATTTCCAACATTGGATAAAGTTCTTGTCTCAGTTCGAGATGATAAGGATTACCCAGAAATGAGTCGAAATACGTTATGGAAACTTTTAAAAGAAATAGGCTTCGGCTGGAAAAAGAATCCCAGAAAGTCTATTTTATTAGAAAGAAGCGATATTGTCATATGGAGAAGACATTTTCTAAGAACCATAAAGGAAATGAGAAACCAAAAAAGAAAAATAGTTTATCTTGATGAAACATGGATCAACGAGGGTCATACACCAAATAAATTTTGGCAGGATGAAACTGTTACAAGTCAAAGGCACGCTTTTGTAAATAACTTATCTACTGGTTTAAACCCACCATCAGGAAAGGGACGCAGGCTGATAATAGTACACATTGGCAGTTCAGACGGTTTTGTTGAAGGTGGTTTATTAACTTTTGAATCAACTCGTACCGGTGACTACCATGAAGACATGAACGCTGATGTCTTTCAAGAATGGTTCGAACAAATGATAGATCTTCTTCCTAAGAACTGTGTAATAGTAATGGATAATGCAAGTTATCACTCCAGACTTATAGAAGGACTGCCCACAACCAAGTGGTTAAAAAAAGACTTGCAGAATTGGCTGAGTTCAAAAAATATTACGTACCATCCCGGATCTATAAGAAAGGAACTTTATTCGGTGTGTGCCCTTCATAAAGAAAAATTTTAAAAATACGAAATTGATGAAATTGCCAAAAATCGTGGAATGACAGTACTTAGATCCCCACCATATCATTGTGAATTAAACCCGATTGAACTGGTATGGGCACAGATAAAGAGTGAAGTTTCAAGAAAAAATACCACTTTTAAAATTCATGATGTTAAACAGTTGTTTTTGGAGGCCGTAAATAATGTAAAACCTGAAAACTGGGAAAAGGCAGTAAATCACACTATTAAAGAAGAGGAAAAAATGTGGAAGCTGGACAATATTACTGATAAAATGATCGAGTCAGTTATTATAAATCTTGGTTCTGAAAGTTCATCTTCTGAATCTGATTTGGATTTGTAACAAGTAGCTGTAAGTTTTATATTAATATTTTTATTCATCTATTTAACATACCTTAGACGGTTTTAAAAACTCTTTTTTTCTTTTGTAATTTTTAAAAATTAAAAAAAATGTGAATTTTTTAAAACCCTTTTTAATGTAGGCCAGTCAGTTCTAATATAGTGTGTGATAAAAGAGGTCACTTTTGTTTACATACACATAACACTTTATAACACTGAAATAATTCATTTATTTTTTACAATTATTCAAAGTAATTTTTCAATTAATCTTGAGCACGCCCATGGAGTGGTCGGAGGTACCAGTTAAAATTATGCTAATTACCCTCTCGTTCATAAAAATAAACTATAATCTATACTTCAACTAAAAGTACGAATAAAATAGTGCATATTATGTCTGTAGTGTCCGTAAATAAATTAAACCGGGTTAATTTGTCTATGCACACCAGATAAAATGTCACTAAAGAACACTGGGTTCCGTTTAAAACATGACTGATTCCGTCTGCGAAAACGAGATGCACGTACTTATTTTTTTATACCAGAGTGGGCATTCTGATTGTTTATTATTCTGTGGTTTAATTCTGCTCCATTTAAGTGACATTTATCATACTTTCACAAGTATTTCAAAAGCCTGTTAAACAAATAATTCATGTCATTCCTAGTACTCACTACTGATCAAACTTTTCAATGATTACTCATATCGTATTATTTCCTGGACTGTTTACCATATGTACTTTACTGAAATTAATTAATTTTATGTGAAAATAACAAAATATTAATAGAGAAATATGTAGGTATTTTTTGTTATAATTACATACATAATATAATCGATATGTATTAAAACCGTGCAGAGGGAGCTTTAACTTACCTGACGTTTGTTTGTATTCAAAATTGAAAGGAAGTCAATTTTAATATTGATTAAATACGAGAGATTGAAACAATAAAAAATGTTTGGAATAAAACATAATGAATGTGTAGGTTTTGAATCCAGGTGGAAAGTTAAAAAGTAAGTAAGCATTTTAATTTATTTCACAATTAGTTGTATGACCAATTTTTTGTAGGGTTTCGTCTAATGCCGCCACTCAAGCTACAGAATTTTCTCAGTCCGAGAAAGGAACGAGCACTGGAACAACAGATAGTATAGAGGTATCTTGTTTAATAAGATATTCTTATAAAAAATATAACAAAATTGGTAGAGATGGTAGATGCGTTATAAAATTTATTTTGAAGGGTAAACTGTGTTAAAAGTGTTGCCTATATTAAAAATTTTGTGAAGCAGTGTCGTATTCCCAATTTTACAGTAGGTACAATCATTTTGAATTATAATAAAGTTTTTATAGCTTTTACTACTCAAGCTCATCTCGAAATCCAGTAAATATAGGAACTGGAATTTTTAAATTGCTATTTTACATTTTTGTTTTAATTTCTCTACCTTTTATTCCTTCGAATCATTGTTTCTGTCATTTTTTCCGTATTTTCTTGATTCATTAAAAAAATTAAACTTTATTTTTTTTAATTTGCTACGATATTTGACTATACATTTTTTATTCTTATATTTGGTAGGTACTTTAGTACCAGATAGTTGGAAGAAAAATCAAACACCAATTTGGTAATTCTGGTTTAAAATTGCGCCTGTCTTTTATTTTTTCCTTGTACTTATTTCTACACAACTTCAGCTCTTGCATAGTTTTTTCTTTAATCTCTTTTCCAGTTCTTGTAACATACGCCTTAACAAAATTTCGTTTTCCTCAAAATGAGAAAGCTCTTAAGCAACCGCAACCCAAGTGTTAACCTCCGAAGGCGCGCCACTAAATGCCTCGTACTCTCTACGCTACTTTACGAAGTAGAAGGGTGGACGTTAACAGCAGCAACTATAAAGAAGTTAGCGGCTCTAGAAATGTGGCTGTATCGACGCATACTGAGAATTCCTTAGACAGATAGAGCCATGGTGACCAATGGGTATAGAGGTGGAATTGTTAATAACTGTTAAAAGGAGGAAAGCGTCATACCTGGGCCATGTCTTCTGTAATGATAAGTACAGTCTGCTATAGCTTTTCGTGGACGGCAAGATTGAAGGTAGAAGAGGTTTGGGCAGAAAGAAGAAATCCTGGCTGAGAGACTTGAGAGAATGATTTCAAATACCAGAAGCTGCGAACATAATACATGCGGCACGAAACAGAGAAACCTATCGTTTGATCGTCGCCAACCTTTGGTAGAAGACGGCACATAAAGAAAGAAGCAGGGGCAAAATTTGGATCTGCAATACTATCGATACTATCATCTGATGATAAATCTAATAGATCCTGGATGTTTTATTTTTAAAATTATTATTATTGAGTTTATTTTTTTAGATTCAGACTGACCCTATAGAAACTCCTTCGTTACTGAAGATGTTGATATGATCAAGCTTGCAAACTGGCTAAGAGACATATATCCAACGGTCAGAAAGGAAATAGACGAAGCTAACAATTCGCATGCTTTCAGAGGATATAGATTACAAAATGACACCAATGAAGCGGACTGCAAACTGTTACAAATACTACCTATAGCAAATATTGGAACTGAGGATAGTGTATGTTTTTTGCCCGTAATTTGAAAATTTAAATTATCTTTTTATATATAATATTTTATAGTATGTGTCGAAGAGAATTGCCTCTGTGTCTTGGAATCAATCAGGAAAATCGTTGGCATTCACTTGTAACTATGAGCACCAATCCTGGTGCCACCACCCAGGATACGTATTCGTTTATATATTACAAAGGTAAGATTTGTAATTTGACTATACTTTTAATAAAATAAATATGGATTTTCACTTCTTTATAGTTTGCTTCACGTTTGAAGCATTTGAATCGCTTATTTCAGAAACAACCTAAGTCACATTTTGGCTTTTTGAGTTTATAACACCATTTTTTGAGTTTTTATTTTGACAGCATCTGTCAAAATTATTAAAAATTGCATATTATTATTATTGATTTGTAAATAAAAACATAAAATTAACGTCAGAAAGAGTTTAATTATGGTTTATTTAAAATTATAACGCAAAATAATAAAATTGAATAAAATAAATCAGTCAACATAACCCCTAAATGTGACGTTTTTGATTTTAATTAAATATTTGATTACAATCAAGCTTTGATTAGCGTTCGAACAATTGGCCTTGCGTATGCTTTTTAATTTAAATTTTAATTATATTTCAGTAATGGTAAACTACCAGATCAGCCTAAGAAAGTTTTAAAGACCGAGAGCTGTGTGATCTGTTTAAAATTTAATCCTAGTCGACCTAGTATTCTAGCAGGATCGACATTTTCTGGTAATAAGTTTTTTCTTATAAGTACATCAAATATTATTACACCGACATTGTAGGTTCCGTCATTATTTGGAACATTCAGAATGAAGACGGAGAAGAAGTTATGACAATTAAATCGGCACATGAAGAAGTAGTTACCCAGATATTATGGACAAATGATATAACGTCAGATAAAAATCTGCTTTTGGTTACTACCAGTACAGACAGTTTCCTAAAAGTGTGGAAATATGATCCTATATCTGAAAATATTTTAACTCTACGAACAAGGTAAGGACTTTTTCTACCTTTTAATTTTTTCACAATGGTTTCTGACTGTCGGTCAGATAGCCAAGCGGGCTGGGCGGTCGGTTTCTCATTCGCTTCACTGCGAGTGATTCAGTGGATGTGGGTTCTATCCCTAGCTCGGTGTATAGAAAACAAAAAGGCTAACGCAGCAGTTTGAAATTCTAAATGAATATGCTGGTGTCTGATCGGCCTATGGTGGAGCAGTACGGCAAGAGATAACGTCTTGCGGCTCGGTGATACTCCTCCATAGATCCCTACCGGAAGAGCGTACCGCCTAAATACCGGTGTATACCGCCATCCCTAGAAAAATTAAACTTTTCTGTTTAAACTTCATTCCATTAAAATATATTTACCTAACCGAAGTAAATTAAAAACAAATACATTTGTTTCAAGCGTTCAATTTTATAACGTCCGATATTTGCACGAGGTTACAATGGAAACGACATGCAGTAACGACTCTGTGAAATTGCAATATGATATTGACAGTTTTGCAAAAAAAAATTTCTTTACTTCATCATCTAATGTGTATGATGTTGTGGCACAAAATTGTATTAAACCTGTTCGAATTTTCTCACATGTAATTATTATAATATTTCCAGGTATAAAGTTAAGCCACCGTTATTAAATAACGTGCAGAGAAATAACGAATCACCTATCAATGTTTTAAATAAAAACCCTAACGGTATAAGTTGCTTTGACTTTTCAAAACATGTACCTGACATGTTTTTGGTTGGATTAGAAGGAGGTCACATAGTTCAATGTTCGCTGCTAGGGGCAACAGAATTGAAGGGTAAGTACAAAAATAAAATCTAACAAAACACAAAGACTGCAATCAGGATACGATAATTTATTCGAAACAATATTTTAATCTACTCGAGACAATCAGTCACAGTGTAAGAATATTATCGCACTAAATATCAGCCCAGAGTCCTAGTTAGTTTGTGGAAACGGTGAATAATGGATGTCAATATTGTCAATACGTTTTTTACGACGTATTGGTAGATAAAATGGCGAAAAAGTTAGGCGAAAGGTGTACCCCTAAAAAGACAAACATTTTATCACGAAGTTAGTTCGACTTTTTATCTAATAAATGTACCAGTGATGCTATGTTTTCTGTAGGTACTACATGAAGCCTATCAAGCACTAAACAATATTCTTTACACTGCCACTGTTTTTTGTGACTATGCCAAAGCTTTTGATTGTCTAAATCAAGACATTTTAGTAAAAAAAAACAAAACTTCTACGGAATTCGAGGTATTTCTTTGAATTGATTCCAATCTTACTTAAGGAATAGGAAACAACTAGTTAGAACAAATGATACTGACTCTAGTCACAAAAGCGTGTATGTGGAGTACCACAAGGTTCAGTACTGGGTCCTCTACTTTTCCTTATTTTTATAAATTACATCACTAACTTAAAAATCGATGGAGAAATTTTTCTTTTTGCTGATGATACGAGTATCACCTGGAGGAACTATAATATTGCAACTGTTCATGCAATTATAACTTCTGATCTACTTGGAATAAAAATCTGGTTCGACTCTAATTTACTTTCTTTTAACGTGGATAAGACAGTAGCATTATTCTATAAAGGAGCTCTTTAACATTTGCTTTTTAATAACAGCCAGATCTGTATCGTTGATTCTGTAAAATTTCTTTGTATTTTTATAGATAACAATCTTAAATGGTCCTTTCATCGATTTGTTAAGCAAGAAACTAGCATCAGCCTGCTATACAATAAGATCTGTTTCAATGGAAATCAATTTAGCGTCTTCCAAAATAACATGTTTTTCTTTGTTCGAGTCTCATCTTAACTCTTCCTTCTTTATATATTTTAGAAACTGTTTGCTTAATTCGAAAACACCTACATGCTTTTCCAGCAATACTTAATTAAGTCTACTCCACCAGAAAAAAATCTATTTCTTTCCTTAAGTTCCGTAAATTGACAAAAACCTATCTATCTGAAAGACCATTATCAGTGAATAATCTAACGAATAACTAAGAAGTTACAGTACGTTTAGGTACAAGTAACTAAAGTATTTTTATACCGGGTGGTGAATCGTCAAACGGGCCATAGGAAACTCAATGGGTAATTTTAAATTGTTGAATTGCTGCTTCCCTAATTATTTTAGATCAAAAGTCATAAAAACTATTTGTATAGGACTAAAATCTGAATTAAAAATAAATGTTTAAAACCGTTCTACGAATCAAATGTACTTCAAAATTTTGCAAAAATATAATACATTTTTCAGGCCACCCCTAAAAGTTAGGCCACACGTAGGGCAAGAATATAGATTATGACGTGTGTGTTTTATCATATTGATGTCAGATGTTTGACAATTTGAATTGTCAATTTTTTATTTTATGATTAAATTATAAACAATGAATTTTACTAAATACTACTACTACTGAACAACAAATATTACTTTGTGAACAATAAATTATATTGTTTACAAATCGATCAATATAATGAAATGTACTCAGTTGACGAAAAATCGCATAATGTTGTATTCAGGCAATAGCGCGAACCTTTTCCTGCCACTACCGGATCTTTATTTAACGTAAGATATTCTAATACACTAAAATTTAATTCCATGTTAAGTTATACAACAATTCAATGAATTCCAATATACTGTTACTGTGTTCTTTATTCCTAAAAATAATTTATGATAATTTCTAAACATAAAACTATAACAAATGTTATAATAAAACATGAATAAAACATTTTTATTATTGCTCTTTTCTCCTCAACTGAGTACATTTTTTAATCAACTTAATTTTTTTTTAAACAATAAATCACAAAATAAAAATTATGGCCATTTAAATCATAGATAAATATAATATAGTTGATTTAAATATTGTCAAATATCAGAAACATCAATATGACAAAACGCAACACGTAATACACATTTTCTCACGGCGTCTGGCCTGACTTTTAGGGGTGGCCTGAAAAATGTATTATATTTTAGCAAAATTTTGGAATACGTTTTAAATCGTAGAACAATTTTAACAGTTGTTTTCGATACATATTTGAGTCCTCTACAAATAGTTTCCCATGACTTTTGGTGTAAAATAATTAGGGAAGCAGGAATTCAACAATTTAGAATTTCCCATTGAGTTTCCTATGGCCCGTTTGACGATTCACCACCCTGTATATATTTGGGTATCATATGCAGCAACATAAACTCATAAGTTCGTAAGGTTTTATTATGCAGTTTGCAATTTATTTAAATTTTGCAATGGTTTATTTGTTTTTATTATCTTTTATTTTATGATACTGACGATTTATGTAAATTTAGTAAATTTTAATTGTTACTGTCATTTTTTTGACTTCATATAAACTTTATTTATAAAATTATACAGTTTTCGGTGACAATAAAGGATATTTCTATTATATTCTATTCTATTCTAATTCAGGGAAAATGATAAATATGAGTGATTTAGTTGAATCATTTCAATCTCAAAAATATTCTTAATATGCATTTTCAGACGGAAATTAACTCAATATCAAATATATTTTAGGAAGCACGAAAGAAGAACCTTTAAAGGATCCTTCTTTTAAATATTATGAACCACACGAAGGAGAAGTGGTTTCAGTGAATTTTTCACCGAATCGAAAAGATATGTTCATGACATACGGGACCGATGCGGAAATAAGACTCTATCTAATTGGACAGGTTTTGTATTATCTGATAATTTAAAATTTATAACTTTTTGTAATAATTTGTAAAAGTTTAATGATCTGTAATCCTTGTACAGTGTTTCCAATATATTTAATAATGAAAACGTTTATTTTTAGGAAGATCCAGCTCAACTTATTTTCCTTAAAAGTACTTTGTTGGATCTGACATTTGTGCCGTACGAAGAAAAATTAATAGCTGGTTGCGGTTTGAACGGATTTATGGAACTATTCCATATGCAAAAAGCAAAAGCGATAAAAGATATAACTAAAGAACAGTTCAAGAATAAAGTCATTTCCACTTGTATAGCTATTAATGGAAATAAGTTAGTATTTTCACGTCTGGTAGATAATCGTTTGTAAATCTGTCGTAGAAAATTAGGATATCTTGTAAATAGGTGGTATAATAAGTAACCTCTTTTATAACGAAACATATGTTTTTCGAGAATTTTTTTTATTTTGCTCGATATAGTATCCTTTTAGCTCAATACAACGGTTCTAACGATTTTCTAACTTCTTTATGTCGTCCGAATAATACGATTCTGGAAGCTCCGCAAAATAGGAGTTTGTTTTGTCACTTATCTCTTCGTTTTAATCAATGGAATAAGCTGTGTATTATAAAAAAAATCTACTACTAAACTACTTGTTACTTTTCCATTAACCTATACAGGGTGAGTGGGGAGGAACTTTAAGACTGTATAATATACGTAAAAATAAGTAAAAATAACTCATATGTTGTTATTCGATTTTCATTTGTTTTCGAGTTATAGCGATAATAACACAAAGTTGTAACTTAACATTAATTTAATGTTAAATGTTCTTATAATAAATTTTCAAAAATACCACCATTGACCTGTAAGCATTTTCTGCTTCGTCTATGAAACATTCTCTTCTGATTGCGTCATGGTTTGCTCTAATTGTGGCTGCAACATTTTTAATGCGTCGAATTAGTGCATCGCGAGTGTCGACTTTTACCTTGTAAACTTCATTTTTAAACCAGCCCCATAAAAAATAGTCTAATGGTGTTAGGTCTGGAGACCTCGGAGGCCAACTAATAGGACCATTGCGACCAATCCAACGCCTTGGAAATTTTGTATTTAAATGTTGCCTGACCTGACGAGCAAAATGTGCAGGAGCTCCATCGCGCTGATAATACATTTGCATTCTGATATTTAGTGGAATGTTCTGTAGGAGTCCTGGCAATTCATTCTGTAAAAAATTCAAGTACTCCTCTCCTGTAAGGCGGTTCTCAAATATGAAAGGGCCAATTAAATAACCGTCGATCACACCACACCACACGTTTACCGAAAATTTGTGCTGAAAACTAGCTTCAATTGTTGCATGTGGATTTTCATCTGACCATACATGTGAGTTGCGGCTATTATTAATACCGTCTCTGGTGAATGTTGCTTCATCGGTAAAAAGTATGCGGGATATAACACGACGATTATTATTTATCCATCGACAAAATTGCATACGGCTGGCATAATCTTCTGGTTGTAGGTGCTGTACACGTTGTAGGTGGTATGGATATAAACCTTGCTCGTGAAGTGTGTTAATTACTCTCGTTTGAGGAATGGCTAAATGAGTACCGATTCTTCGTGAGCTGATCCCTGGATCATCTTCTACTGAATCCAGAATATTTTGTATTTCTTGTAAACTTTGTCGGGGAGCACGTTCCGATATTATTTTATAACTAGGAAGCGTTCCGGTCTCGCATAGTTTGTTGAAAACTCTAATAAATACATTTTTATCTGGAGTTCTCCGATTTGGAAACCGTTGACGATATTCTTCAACAGCAGCTCTACCGTTTCCATTACAAAAGCCATAAACAAACACCATATTTGCATAATCACTATTTGAATAAGTATGTGGCATTTTGCAACAACTTTTTTTATACAAACTGTCAAATAGACATTAAATCACGTTGACACTACACTATTATGACAGTTAACTAATTATTAAACGAATCACAGATACCTGTTACAGCAATGTGATAAGTAGCAGTAAAATTACAACTTTGTGTTATTATCGCTATAACTCGAAAACAAATGAAAATCGAATAACAACATATGAGTTATTTTTACTTATTTTTACGTATATTATACAGTCTTAAAGTTTGGTGCGTTCCTCCCACTCACCCTGTATACATCAGATTTAACGACTGTGTTTACACTATCAGCCGGAACATATAAACAACAACTCGATACGCTGACCTCCGTTAATTGTTGTGAAACAATATTCTAATATTATCTACGATCCCATATGTACCGTATTTATACCTATAACTACCTAAATACCTATACCATTTCAATGTTAGCTTGAATGTTATTTTTTAATGAAACAAAGCCACTGTCTAGGTCACCAATATGTACTTCTATACTCGTGTCAATGGATTATTCATATATTAAGAGTGAATTCTTTCTATTATAATTTAAGAATATTAGGAAATTGATATTTAGGGGTTAAAATTCTTGCAAATATATTATACAAAGAGAAAGCAATTCGAAGCCCAACTCATGAATGTTTGCCACTGCCATATTGCTATTTTCAACTAGTGCATTATTTTGGAAAAACGACTTTTTTCTTCTGCATGTGAGGCCATTTTTTCAAGGCCTGCCTAGATCTTCAGTATCTTCGAAAACAGATAGATGATTGTCAAAAGAATCAAATCTTGAAAAATATTCGTGCGTCATTTTGCCGAGATTTTTCTGGGTTTTCCTCATTTTCTGCAGGTGCTATAGTTTTTTCGTTTCTATACTCGGTTTTTTTATAAAAAAACTGTATATTTGTATATAAAACAGTTATTGTATAACTGTATATAAAAAAATTTGTATAAAAAAAAAAATTTGTGGACAACGCTTGAACCATCTAAGGTACGCTGATGACATCGTATTGATAACCGATAAAAAAGATGAATTATTTGAAATGATGAAAGAACTGGACGTAGAAGCTGGAAAGATAGGCCTTAATATGAATTATAGCAAGACCAAAACTATAACAAATACAGATGAAGACATCACAATGAGAATCGGACAAGATGAAATAGAACAAGTTAAGGATTATATATATCTTGGTCAAACTATAAAACTTAACAAAGAGAACCAAACAGCAGAGATCAAGAGACGAGTTAGACTGGCATGGGCGGCATTTGGCAAACTAAGCTACATTCTTAAAAACAAAAGATATCCACAGCATCTTAAGACCAAAGTATATAATCAATGCGTACTCCCTGTTCTTACGTATGGCTCCCAAACGTGGACATTTACAAAAGCAAACATGGACAAAATCATAAAAACCCAAAGAGCAATGGAAAGACAAATGTTGCACATAAGACTAATGGATAAGAAGAGAAACGAGTGGATAAGAGAGAAAACAAAAGTGAGGGATGTTAGACAAGAAGTTGCAAAATTGAAATGGAGATTTGCCGGACACAATATAAGACAAAAAGAAGACCGATGGAACAAAATTCTTATAAGTTGGAGACCGTGGGAATATAAACGAAGCAGAGGAAGGCCCCAAATGAGATGGGCAGATGATATCAAGAAGCACGTGGGCTCTAGATGGATGACTGTTGCGACAGACAGAGAAGAATGGAAAAGGATTGGGGAGGCCTATGTCCAAAGATGGACCGAAGAAGGCTAATTAGATAGATAGATAGATACTCGGTTTGCTATTCCATATACAATATTAAGTAAATCAGTAAAATTACATATTATTTTAATTAAATTTTTATTTACAGACATAATCTAGTTGCGATCGGAACTGCTAATGGAGAACTTCAGTTGTGGAGCGTACCATGGAATTCCCTTTTAAATAAATAAGAAATCTTTTTTTGTCTTTTCTTTTTGTATTCTTATATTAAAAATAAATGTATCAATATTTATTTTTTTATTAACTATATAGCGAAAGAAGTCTTATCTAAAACTGTATCGATCAAAAACCGATTCAATTAAGAATTCAAACAGGTATATAAAATTAGAAAAATAAATCCATTACAAAATCGATCAGTTATTCCATAAAAAATCCAGAAATATCCCATAAAGCCAGTAAAATCTTCTATACAACCAATAAACCCAAGAGAATTCTGCAGACCATAAAATGAAGCTTATAATAAGTTTTGTCTTCTTTAATAAATCTCAAAAACAGGCAAAAAATTATATTCCCACTACTTTAGAAAAGGTGACTGACAGAAAGTAGGAAGGAATTGCAATAAAGTTAGCACAGATGAAACATAGTACACAGAACAGCATATTTAGTCTATCAATCATCAAAATATACAACGATCTTGAAACAATTTCTACGTAGAAGGACAGTAAAGTGTCAGCTGATGCATTTTCATTAAAGCAAACTATTAGGAGCCTAGAATTTCAGTGGTTTGTCTTAGTGATGTTTTAGGTACAACTGTATCACTTAGTCGTCTTTTTCAGTCACCAAAATTAGATTTGAAGAAGGCTACTGAGGCCATAAAAGACATTAAATGCATGCTTCAAAATAAGATTAAATGCTGAATCTGTTTTGAGCAAACTTTACTATTAAGTAAAGGAAATAGCTGAACAACTAGACATTTAATTGAAGATGCGTCGTATAGTTTCTCATCAAACCTGTCGTCAAAACCTACCTGCTTACTTTTGCTAAGAATATTTCCGAAGATCTATTTATTTATCCCTTTTAGACAATATTTTAACTGATCTAAAATATAAATAATAAAATAAAATATAAAAAAATATAAAATATTTTTTCGGAATATTATTAGTATTACGTATGATATTGTCAAGATATACTTTTGGTACAAAAATTCACTTCCGGTTTTGAGATGACCGGAAGTTAAAATTTAATTTAAGCTTTAGGCCCCTTCTTCTTCTTAAAGTGCCCTCTCCTCAATGGAGGTTGGCTACTACAATTTTAAACTCTTCTCTATCTTCAGCTGTTCTTATTAGCTGTTCAAAATTTAGCCCTGTCCATTGTCGGATGTTTCTGAGCCATGATAGTCTTTTCCTTCCTAGGCCTCTCTTTCCCTCGATTTTTCCTTTCACTATAAGTTGGGCATATTGGTACTTATTATTTCTCAGTATGTGGCCTAGGTATGATGTTTTTCTTACTTTTACTGTGTTAAAAAGTTCTCTTTCCTTGCCTATTCTATGCAGCACTTCTTCGTTTGAGGTATGCGATGTCCATGAAATTTTGAGTATTCTCCGGTAGATCCACATTTCAAAGGCCTCCAATTTATTTACGGTTGATGTTTTAAGGGTCCACGTTTCAACTGCATATAGAAGAGTCGACCAGACGTAGCATTTTGATAAACGTAGTCGAATTTCGAGTTTTATTCGAGAATCACAAAGCAGTTTTTTTATTTTTTCGAAAGATTTTCTAGCCTGTTCTATTCTCGATCTTATTTCTTGATCAGGATTTAGGCTGCTATCGATCCAACATCCCAGGTACTTAAATCTATTGACCTGTTCTAAGATGTGCCCATTTATTGTGCAAGGTTGAGGTACGTTTTGGTTTTTTCGGATTGACATCACTTTGGTTTTTTTAATGTTTATTTTCATACCAAATTGCTCACAGGTCGAGTTGGTCTTGTCGATGAGTCGTTGTAGACCTGAGTCGGAATCCGCAATTAACACTGTATCATCGGCGTATCTGATACTGTTGATATTTACGCCATTCACCTTGACTCCATCCTTGGAATCCTCCAATGCTTCTTTAAATAGAAACTCGGAGTAAAGATTAAACAGCAGAGGCGACAGAACACATCCCTGTCTAACTCCCCTCCTAATTTCTACTTCTGCGGATGTGGAACCTTCGATCCTAACTCTGGCTTTTTGGTTCCAGTACAAGTTTTTTAAGAATTTGATGTCTTTTCCATCTAAACCGACTTCTTGCAAACGTTCTAATAGTAGGTCGTGTCTTACTCTATCAAATGCTTTTTCGAAGTCTATAAAGCATATAAATATATCTTTCTGTTGGTCGTAGCATTTTTGGGCGAGAACTAGTAAACTGAACAGGGCTTCTCTCGTTCCCATGCCGGCTCTGAATCCAAACTGATCGTCTCCGATGATTGTTTCGCACTTTCTATAGATACGATTATGTACGATTTTTAGTAGGACTTTTACAGCATGACTCATAAGGCTTATCAGACGGAACTCATTGCAGTGTTGTGGGTTTGGCTTTTTTGGTAGTGGGATGAATATTGACTCCAGCCAATCTTGGGGTATTTTACCTGTATCATAAATGCGATTGAATAAAAGGACAAATAATTCGATATTTTCTTCGCTGATTAATTTGAGCGTTTCTGGGTATATTCCGTCTGGACCTGGGCTTTTATTTGTTTTGAGATGATTAATTGCATTTATGATTTCAGATTTCAGAATTGTTGGCCCTTCGTTGTTATTTTCCAATCTTGGTTCTTCTCGTATGTCGTGAAAAAGAATTTTAATATAGTTTTCCCATTCTTTCAGTTTATCTTCCGTTGATTCTAGCAGTTTGTCATCCGTGTTCAGCATGGTGTGAAAAGTCGTTCTCTTGGTAGTCGATGTAAACTCTTTTACCTTTTTATGTAAATTAAAAAAATCGTGCCTTTGTTGCAGTTCTTCTATTTCAACGCATTTTGTTTCCAGCCATTTCTCTTTTGCTTCGGTTATTTTTTTTCGAATTATTCTATTTAGTCTTTTGTATTCTACGTCCTTGTCATTTTTTCCTTTAGATTCTCTTCGTTTGTTCATTAATTGTAAAATCTCTTCTGTCATCCATTCCTGTTTGTTATTTCTAGGTGTTACTTTTAGATGTTTTTTCGTTACATTGTTCATTTGTTCTTTAATAGTTTTCCACAGAACGTTTATGTCATCGTACTCTCTAATTCTATTGTGGTCAATATTTCCTAAATTTTTGTTTAATTCTTTATTTACTGTCTTATGTATGGTGTCGTTTTTTAATATTTGGATGTCTAATAGTTGTGTGTTGAGGTTTTTGTTTCTTTATTAGTTTCCATCTTGCGCGAACTTTTGCAACAACAGGATTATGATCGGAATTGATGTCAGTTCCAGGATATGTTTTTGCACTGATGATTGCATTGTGATATCTTTTGTTGACCAATATGTAATCTATTTGGTTACGGATTACTCTGTTTTCATTGTGTTGTGGTGATGTCCACGTGTACAATCTGCGAGGGTGTAATTTAAACCATGTATTTGTCACTACCATGTTGTGTTGTTGGCAGAATTCGGTCATTCTCTCTCCCCTGTCGTTCCTTGCTCCAAGTCCGAAGTTTCCGATCAATCCAGAAACTTTTCCTCTACCTAACTTAGCATTAAAGTCACCTAAGATAAATGTTAGGTCTCGTTTTTTGGTCATCTTTATTAGTTTTTCTACGTCAGCATACCACGCTTCTAGCTCTTCTATGGGTTTATCGGCCGTAGGGGCATAAGTTTGAATGATGTTAATATTTACTGGCTTTCCGGATAGTTGAATAAGAAGACATCGGTCCGAAAATGGCACAAAGTTTGTGACGGCATGGTTATATTTGTCTTCTAAAATTACTCCAACCCCGTTACGATGAGCCGGATCGTTATTACCCGAGTAATAGAAAGTTTTGTTCATGGTTTTAACTTTACCTGAACCTGGCCATTTAACTTCACTCAAACCCAATATCTGCAACCCTAAACGTTTCATTTCGTGGCATGCATTTGCTAGTTTTCCTGTTTCGAACAGACAGTTTAGGCCCCACAATGTATATATGGATCGAAAGGTTTCGTCGAGACGAATCTAAATATCTACTTCCGGTTGCGATCCGACACCGGAAGTGACCCGAAACACGCATAAAACGTCAAGATAGAGCAAATCTGACACCGGATTCGTGATCAGCATGCAAAATTAACTGCTAACTGATATCTATGTCGACATTTGATGAACTAAAAATTGCATTCCGGTTTTGAGGTCGACTTCCGGTTTCGTTTTTATTAAAAACCCAGTGTCAAGTAAAAGTTTTCAGAAAATGGAGACATTGTAACAAAAAAACATTGTTTTCGACGAAATATTTCGTGATATTTAATACACTTTTTACTTGCATTATTATTGATGAATGTTATGTATATTCTTGCTTATATTGTTTGTATTGATCTCTTAATTTTTCTCGCAAAATAAAAATTTCATTTAAAAAACTCGATGTCGAGTTGGTCCGCTAGTAAATCTTATTTCTAGAAAATATGTGTTACAAAAACAATACCAAATCGACTTGACTTTAATAGGATTTAAATCAAACAATATTTTTGTCAGTTTGAAAACACAAACGTCAATATAATGTTTCTATTAAGACAACAAAAATTATTCATTCCACAAAAATTGCATATTTTTGCTAGAAGTCTTAAAAGATGGTATCCAGATGAAGAATATATCAAACAATTCGATGGGCCAGTTATGTATCCTGATGAGATAACTAAAAATTGGGTTATCCAACCATATAACGCCAAAAAAGCACCCGAAGAAAAAACTATTAAGAACATGGTGATTAATTTTGGACCCGCTCATCCAGCTGCTCATGGTTGTTTAAGAATGATATTAACTTTGGACGGTGAGGTAAGAAATTTAAATAATTGTAATAACAAAGTTTGTTCAGTATCAGTTATGATTGATTTATTTTGATGGAACGTCATACCTAGCGACAGTAAATTTACTGTTTTGAAAGTTCAAGCTATATTGAATATTTCAATATGTTATTGCTTTTAATCTCTGATATCTTAATCCCTGTTGTCTGAGAATGAGCATAGTCCAGGAAATGAAGTTTTTCATCTCACAATTTTTTCGGAAAAGATCGATTTATTTGAAAATTAGGGAATAAGTAATGGATAGTCCAAGGATCCAAATCTATTTGATGCCGAAAGGAGCATTTACCATTGGGGTAGTTGCCACGACATCTCGGGGGGTGGAATTTTTTCATTAAATTTTGACCAAAAAAATTAGTAGAAAAATGAATTCTAAGCAAAAAATGTCTTTTATATTTTCCTTTTTTTTAGCAATAAAGTGAGCGAAAACAACCTTCTAATTACCAACCTAATTAAAACTAATCGTTGGCCTTGTTCAGTCTTCTTTATTTATGTATTATTAATACATTCTAGAAGTTTGATTGACTTAGAATGATTATTTAAAAAAAAAATAGAGTTAAAAGCAATTAGGTACGAATTTTTGTATTTCAAAGTTGTTCAAAAACTGAGTGTTTTAAAAAGATTTATAATTTTGACAGCAGCTGTCAAAATTATTAAAAATTGCTTAATATAGCATCACAAAAAGTACAAAATCATTTAGATCAATTACAAAACTGGCTTAAGCGATGTAAAATCAGTGTTAATGCTAGCAAATCAGAACAAATTACTTTTACAACAAGAAAATCCAGATGTCCACAAGTTTTATATTAATAATACTCCCATTCCTATAAAACCAGTTGTCAAATAGTTGGGATTACACCTGGATGAAAAACTTACATGAACAACGCACATTCAAACTAAACGGAAACAACTAGATCTGAAACTAAAAAATATGAACTGGCTATTTAACAAAAGGTCTTAGTTATCTCTTGAAAATAAACTGCTTCTGTACAAAGCTATATGTACTTATACGAGTTTGGGCATAAGGAATAGAACTATGGTAATAGAACTATTAGTTTAATTTGAATATATTTTCAAATAATATGGAAATTCTTCATTGCATTTACAAACATGTTCAAATGTGTAAATACAAGATGTAAATAGTATATAGGCACAATCTGTTAATATGGTTTGAAAAAAAAACAAAAAAAAACAACAAAACAAAAAAAGAAAACATAACAAAAAAAAAGAAGATAATAAAAAAATAAAAAAAGAAACAAAAAAAATATATCAAAATATAATTTATGTATAAATATTAGGTATATGTAATACTAACATTGATAACTTATAACAAGAAAATTTTGACTATGAATCTGCAATCACTAATAATTAAAATTCAGTCGATTTTAACAAAAAAAAAACAAACAAGTCTGCTAATTGGCTCTGCCAAAGCCATATTACAGAAAAAAAATTGAATATCGTTTATTTCTAGTGTTACAACTTTCAATGGATCATGTAGGTCTTCTACATATCTAATACCTCTGGACAACAGCGTTCTATATATTATTAAAGATTTATCTCTGTTTTTGTGATATTTCCGTAAATAACCGAAACTAATATATATTTTCATTTGATAGATAGTTAGAAAATTAGACCCCCATATAGGGCTACTCCACAGAGGAACGGAAAAATTAATGGAGTACAAAACTTACACTCAGGCTTTACCCTACTTAGACCGATTGGATTATCTGTCACCTCTTGTTAATGAACTTCCATTTTGTTTGGCAACAGAAAAATTATTGGGATTGAAAGTGCCGAAAAGAGGTAGGTTACTTTTAATTTTAACTAATGTCTAACTTTCTACGTCTGGAAATCTAGCTTTCTAAAATAAAAAAGTGCCACCTTTGAGTTTTGAAGAGCTTCCAGCAAAGAAACTGCAAATTTTTCCGCATGTGTTGTTTAGGTCTTCAAGTTTTGTCCTGCATACAGTTTTAAAAATTCAGTTTCTTTCTTTGAGATAAAAATACAAAAGTTGGTTGGCTTGGTCGATTCCTACAGTTTGGATGTAGAAATAATTTTTTCGAGGAGGGTTAGTAATCGAATCCTGGTTAGTAATCGAATCTCATCGGCATGCCGTATAATTGAATCGCTTATTTCAGAAACAACCTAAGTCACATTCGGATAGTTTGCAGGAAATGAAAAAAAAAAACGTTTTGAAAGTTTATCTGGACATTTTCACTAAAAGTGAAGTTTGAAACGGTTGGTTGGTCATTGTTCAATAATATTGAAATATGAATGTTTTCTTCCAATATACAGACACCTGTTTGTAAGCAACAATAAGAACAAACAATAGAAACACTATAAATTTTATAGGTTGTGGTAAACGTCGATATGTAAAATGACAACTAACAATTTAGTGCAGAAACAACCTTAGTCCGGAACTAAGGTGATTTCAGAACTACATGTTGGTGTAATCAAAATCGCCAACATGTGACTTAGATTGTTTCTGAAATAGCGATCATTTAATACTTTCAAGTATGGTTTCATCAATGTAAACCCAACTGCCATTTGGTTTTGACAATATTTACGCAAGTACTTCAAAAGTTCACTGAAGATAGACTGACTAGTCCAAAAAAGGTTCTGAACTTCTACCAAACTAAATATATATATATATATATATATATATATATATATATATATATATATATATATATAATATATATATATATATATATATATATATATATAGCGAGTGTTTGCAACTTTAATTTTGTCGCTTCTCGCATCCCAATCGCCATAATTTCTTATCGGCCCAGTCTCCTTCTTCAAGACCTCTATTTTCCATTTCTATATGAATATTGGATATCCATTTCTTTCTTGGCCTTCCCCTTTTATTTCTCTGTGTAGGTCTCCAGTTCCAAACCTTTCGTGGTATCCTTTCTTCGTTCATCCGTCTTAGGTGTCCATACCATTTTAATTGTTTTTCGGCTATCGTATCCATTATTGTGTTCTTTACTTTCATTCTCTCTCTTATGTTTTCATTTCTTATGTGGTCAAACAAAGTTAACCCGGAACATCTTCTCCAGTACATCATTTCCGTTGAGAGGAGTTTTTGTGACATATTATTGTTAAAGACCCACACTTCTGACCCATACGTCAGCACCGGCTGAATCATAGTCTGATATATATTTTTCTTTGTTTTCTTAGTTAAAGTTTTATTCCACAGGATCGGATGTAGTGTTTTTATCATGTTTTTTCCTTTTCCTATTTTTCTTTTTATATCTTTGTCGTCTCTCCCGTCTTCGCTTAGTGTAACTCCGAGATATTCGTACTGATCAACGTTTTTAATTAATCCGCTTTCTGTTTCCATGTCTTGACCGATGCCTCCTATATTCATGTATTGTGTCTTTTCGGTATTAACCTCTAATCCCCATTTTTTGAATTCGTCTATTAGTTTGTTTATCATGTACGTCATATCTTGTAGGTCCTCGGCAAGAACTACCTGGTCGTCTGCGAAGAGGATTGTATATATAGGAGTGTCATTTACCCATATGCCCATTGGGCTGCATTTTCTCATCCAATGTTTTAAAGCATTACCAAGATATATTTTAAATAGGGTTGGGGAGAGGCAAGAGCCCTGTTTGACACCCTTTGTTTGGGTGAAACTTTTTCACGGCAGCTTTTTCACGGCATTTATGTATACTGCATTTATACCTGCGTTTTCCAATGTTGTCCATAGTCTCTGCAGTGGTACGGAGTCAAACGCTTTACGGAGATCTATAAAAGTGGCATGAAGTTCTAGTCCTCTTGCTAATCTCTTTTCCGTTAGGTGTTTGAGAGTAAATACATTGTCGACACAAGATCTCCCTGGTCGGAATCCACTTTGTTCTTCGATCTCTGTGGCTTCTTTTTCTATTCTGGCTTTCAGAACTCTTTCATACAGTTTGCCAGTGGATGACGTAATACTGATACCTCGGTAATTACTGCAGTCATTCCTGTTTCCCTTTTTGTAGATGGAGTTTATGTACGAGACTTTCCAATCTCTTGGGATACTTTATCAACTCTATCTATCTGTGTGTCTAGAAACTGTGTACGTTGTTCATTTAATAGATTTTCATAATAATTTTTCCATCTTTCTATGTCTATGGGGTTTATTTTTTTTTTGTTTCGTTTGTATTTTTTCTAAGACTGTTGATAGTTTTCCAAGCTTGTCTGGACCTAGATCCTCCTACCATTGAGCTTATTTCTGCACACTTGTTGTCCCAGGTTATGTTTTTTGTTTTTTTAATTTCCTTTTTTACTATATATTTGTATCTGTTATAGTTCTTTCGGTCTTCCTCATCTTTTGTCGCTAACCATTTGAGATACAGTTTTTTCTTTTCTTCTACCAGTTCTAATAAACCTTCTGTCCACCAATAATTTCTACGTTTTACTTTTTCTTTCGTACCTAGAGCTTCTAATGCTGCTTCATGAATTTTGATTTTCAAAGTCTCATACATTTCTTCCGCTGTTCCGTTTATTTCTTCGTCTAATTTTTGTGCCAAACGTAGTTTATAAAGAAAACTTGTGGACTCATTTTTTAAGCTGTCTATGTTATAGAGCCGTGAGGATTCTTTGTTTGTCTGTTCTTGGGATTTATTTTGTTTAATATATCTTATTTCCACGGGTGCCTTTACTAGTAGGTGATCCGATCCACATTCTGCCCCTCTCCAAGCTTTTACATCGTAGGGTCTTAAAGATGTCTCTTGTTTAACTACTATATAGTCTATAATTGATTGCAGTTTTCTTGTCTTTTGAGTCCATGTATATTTATTTATGTCTCTATGTTTGTAAAATCCATTCAGTATTTTTAACGAATGTTGTTCGCATACCACATAAACTTACCATACCAAACTAAATATACCACTTACAATAGAACTGTTGTACTTCGATGTTCGAGGAATATTTTTAATTATATATTCAATTACCAGAACAACCAACCGCTGCGCTCTATCTTAAAGTAGAACTATCAAAACCTACAAACCTGAGCTTTCTATCATATTTTTTACCCCAACTATATTTCTTGTAATTGCATTTTTAGCCCAATATATAAGAACTATGTATTCTGAACTAACCAGAATAAGCAATCATATGGCTGCTACTGCTTTTCTCGCTCTTGACGTTGGTGCTATCACACCCTTGTTTTGGTTTTTCGAAGAACGAGAAAAAATATATGAGCTCTGTGAAAGAGCATGCGGTTCGAGAATGCACGCTTGCTATTTCAGAGTTGGTGGAGTCAGCCAGGTGAGTTTGCTTTAAAAGTAACTTTAAATTAACATATTTTTTTAAAATTTTTTTCGGAATTTAATTCTGACAGTTAAATCACGAGACCTCAGTCGAGTGATTTTGTCAAAATTTCATAAGCTAAAATTGCCACAAGGCAACAAACTTGAATATAACCAGAAGAAAATTTTGCCGGTAAATAATTTTCTCTGATATTCGACAGAACTATTTCACGGGACAATTAATGCACCATATCAACAAAACATAATCTTTATTTATTTCTTAACAATATTAAATATACGATTGTTATAAGCTATAGTAGTTTGCCCATTCCTTTCTACCAAAGCACTATTTTGTGTATTATTGTCCAGCTTCATTTGTTGTTCTCAGATTTTCGAAAAACTTCTGGTGGTGCCCGAAATCCAATTGCAGATATGGTTTTAGAAAACTTTCATTTGAGTGAACCATTAATTTAATTAACTCCTGTTCAGAAACACCTTGCTTAAACAATGCTGACACAGCTGAATATCGATGAGAATGGTTTGTTATTTTATGTTTTCTTGTGTCTATTCCATTTTTTTCAGGTGATATTTTTGTCCACTTAGATACAGTGTATATTGATACAGTGTATCAGTTGATAATAAAATACCTACAAGAGCTGGGATCGGACGACAAGGATATAAGAATTATCGCCAATCTGTATTGGAACCAGACAGCAACAGTACGTCTTCAAAATTTCAACGAAACAGAAGATTTCTCCATTAAAAAAGGAGTAAGGCAAGGTTGTATACTGTCTCCTTTCTTCTTCTTCACGTGCCATCTCCGCTACGAAGGTTGGCTATCATCATGGCAATTTTGACCCTGGAGGCTGCCGCTCGGAACAATTGTATGGAAGTGCAAGCTAACCACTCCCTGAGGTTTCTCAACCATGACATTCTTCTCCTACCTATGCTGCGCCTACCTTCAATCTTTCCTTGCATAATTAGTTGTAACAGTTGATATTTATTCCCACGTGTAATATGTCCCAGGTAATGTAGTTTCCTCATTTTAACACTCAATACGACCTCCTTTTGTTTGTTCATCCTGTCTAATACAACTTGGTTAGTTATCTTATCCTTCCAGGAGATTTTTAACATTCTTCGGTACGCGCCCACATCTCAAATGCCTCCAGCTTACCTATACATTGCTTATTTAGTGTCCACGCCTCCACCCCATACAACAGGACCGAGAAAACATAACATTTAAGCATTCGTATTTTCAGCTTTAGGCTTAGGTTACGGCTACACAACATTTGTTTCATATTGTTAAAGGCTCTGCGGGCTTTCTCTATTCTTATTCTTATTTCTCTGGTGTATTCGTTTGACTCGTTAATATTTGTTCCGAGGTAATTGTAATTTTGTACTCGTTCAATGAGATTCTGTCCTACATGTAAGTTGATATTATTGATACGTTTCTTTGTAATTATCATGAATTTGGTCTTCTTTGTATTCAGTGACAGACCAAATTCTTCACTTGCTTCTACCACTTTGTTTAGTAATCTCTGTAGGTCGTCAATATTTTCTGCTATGAGCGCGATATCATCAGCATATCGGATGTTGCAAATGGGGTGACCGTTGATCTTTATTCCGGCTTTTTCGTTCATAAGAGCTTTTTTAATAACATCTTCCGCGTAGACATTGAACAAGGTTGGAGACAACACACAGCCCTGCCGAACACCTCTTTTGATCTGTATTCTATCTGATATCGAGCTGTTAATTCGTACTGTAGCTTCTTGTTTGTAGTATAGATTCCTTATCACTCGCATGTCCCTTGTATCAATATTTTTATTTTCCAGTATTTGCATCAGTAGCCTATGTTTTACTGTATCAAATGCTTTGTTATAGTCTAGGAAACACACAAATATGTCCTGATTTACGTCTAAGCATCGTTGTGTTAGAACATTAAAAGCAAACAGTGCCTCTCTAGTTCCTAGTCCGTCTCTAAAGCCAAATTGAGAGGGTCCGATGTCAACTTCCAATTTTTTATATATTCTCCGATGAATGATTTTTAAGAAGACCTTTAATATATGACACATGAGACTGATGGTGCGATGTTCCGAGCATTGTCTCGCATTAGACTTTTTGGGTATGACTATTATTGTTGTTACTAGCCATTCATTAGGTATGATACCAGATTTGTAAATGCTGTTAAATAGTTCCACGATTTTTATTAAGTTGTTGCCTTTGATGAGTTTAATTATGTCTATTGGTAGTTCATCTGGGCCTGTAGCCTTCCCCGACCTTATTTCTTTAATCGTGTATTCCACTTCATCTCTTGTTATTTCTGGTCCTGTGTCACTGTTTATGTATTCGTTATCTACATTGTCTCTTTGATCTTTAAACTGTGATCTTAATACTGTCTCCAATGCTGTTTAATTTATACGTAGAAAAAGCCTTCGCAGAAGCAATGGCAGACTCTAATAAGGGTATTAAAGTTAACGGCATATTTATTAATAACATCCATATAAGAGCATGTAGATGATACAGCCATAGTGGCAAATAACATCGAAGATCTTCAATGCCTTTTAAATGATCTAACTCTTGCAAGTTAAGCTCAGGGTTTGAAAATAAATATCAGGAATACAAAAACAAGATTATAAGTAGAAATGATTACCCCAACGCAAATATATATGTCTCTAGAGAAGAAATCGAACAGGTCAGGCAATTTAAATATTTGGGTTGCTTGTTGAACGAAGGTTGGGACCCCGAGAATGAAATAAAGAGCAGAGTTTTTCTTCGTAAGTTTTTGACTGATCGTAAATGGGACTTCAACCTCCGATACAAGATGCTTAAGTGTTACGTGTGATCTGTTCTCTTGTACGGAATGGAAGCATGGACGTTAAAGACCAGTTCCATTAACAAACTTGAAGTTTTTGAAATGTGGTGCCTGCGTCGAATGCTCAGAATATCATGGACGGACAGGGTCAGAAATAAGGAAGTACTAAGAAGAGCGGGCTTACAGGATAGGAAACTTTTTAGTTATGTAAAAAGTAAGAAGACTGCATACTTGGAGCACATATTACGAGAAGTAAGATACACTTTTCAGCACCTGATACTTGAAGGGAAGATAGAGGGTAGCAGAGGTCTGGGACGTAAAAAAAATGTCATGGCTGCGCAATATTCAACAATGGACAGGAATCCACAGCTATGAAATGCTTCGCAATGCTGCTAAAAACAGAATTATTTAACCATGATTATTTAACATATCACCTGACAAGACGATACGCAGAAATGCACGGCACCTTAAGAAGAGTCTGTCTGATAAAACATTTGGTCCACTTTTTTTCCATTAATTTGAAAAATAATCTTACTGGGCACAAAATTTCGTTTGTGAATTTGTTACTAGCCATTTGCTGCTTACCAAACTTTTTAAATTGCCAGTTAAAAAAACTCTAATAAAATAGTCAACCAAAATCAGCTTACAACCTTCTCCAATTGATTATCCAAGATAGGTGATATAGGGGGACCGGAAAGAAGACATATTTTCTGCTCCATTCTGCACCAGAATAATCAAGATAACCATGATGATCACCAATATATGAAACATATATACACCATAAGAAAAGAAAAGCATTACGAAATTAATATTATATGTAATTGTAATATTTCTTTCTGGTTTTGGTTGAAAATCATTATAACTATGCGGATCTTGTTGACTGTATATCAACAATTCCCTTAAGTTCTTACGTTAGGATATTCTTCGTCTTTCCACATTGCGCGTTCCTCGAATTTTGTTTTGCATAATGAGTTTCTAAGTAATAATGAGTATCTTTGCCCTTATCAACATGTCCTAAGTACTCAAGTTTTCTTGTTTTGACAATTGATATTATTTTCACTTCATTTATTATCCTTCTAGTTATATCTGCTTAATTTTAGGATTTGCCACTTGGATTGATGGATGACATTTATGAAATTGTAAAGAAAATCCCAGAAAGGGTTGATGAAGTGGAAGATGTCGTTACAAAAAATCGTCTGTTTGTACAAAGAACTAAAGGTATTGGAGTTGTAAAGGCCCACGAAGCACTAAATAGGGCATTTTCGTAAGAAATTTTTATACAATAAATTAACAAGAACATACACACAGATACACACACATAATTTTTTACCTTATTTTGCAAGAGCCGGTGGAATTTGTTAGAAACAAACTTTACATGTTATTAATATTACAAGACACCATTTTTCTTCAATATATTCGTAAAAAAATCATCTCGATATCTCTATTATCAAATATTATACAAATGTAACAAGTTTTCATGGACACTTATAGTGTATTTTTATGTATGAGAGAGTAATAAAACAATAAATTATGTATGCAAATCCCTAAACTGTTGATACGGGTGACTCAATGAAAAACAGATATTTGTCAACAAGTTTACAGAAGTATATAGGAAAACAATTTTAAATTGAGTATGACCACCAGGTATAAAGGTTGGAGCAGAATAGAATACAATAGTTGTGAGGGTTACTAATCCCTAAATAAGGTTGCCAGTGTCGGAGTGATGGAGGTTAACAGGTACTAATGAATTTGCAAGAAATGTAAGATGTTTATTTTATTGGTTATATATAACCAATAAAAGTTTAATAAGTACCTACCTATTTGCAAAATAAAGTTTAATTCTTTAGATAAAATAAACGTTTATTTATCTGAAATGAGTGCATTCCACGAAGTAAGGTTTCAACAATCAAACATTTAATTCTTTAATTCCAGGAATCTACGACAGTAATTGACTAGATAATTACCTTCTAAACTTATTCCACAGAAAATGTGATAGTGGGTTTTTCCATTTTGTAGGAAGGTCCAAGTGGCGTATTCAAAATTCTTAACAGTTCACTAAAAGTAGGTACTTCAGTTGCAAGGTGCAGTTTATTGTGTATACTAGTGTTATGGAAAATTTGGAAGTGCCGTGTAAACGCCGAAAAATTGGTCCTTTAACAGTTAATGAAAAAACATTAATATTTAATTGTTTTAAATCATTTACAGACAAACGTTTATGTGAAAGTGTTGATGAGACCCGTTGAGTTAGTTAGCAGTACACTTGGTGTTGGGAAATCTACGATTTACAGAGTTATTAAAGAAGAGAAATGTAGTAGTTTTCAAATGCCACGTAATGCTCCAGGGAAACCAAAATTTCAAATAGAATATCATTTTAAAGAAGGACTTCGACGGAAAGTGCATGAATTCTTCTTTAGACAAGAATTTCCAACATTGGATAAAGTTCTTGTCTCAGTTCGAGATGATAAGGATTACCCAGAAATGAGTCGAAGTACGTTATGGAAACTTTTAAAAGAAATAGGCTTCCGCTGGAAAAAGAATCCCAGAAAGTCTATTTTATTAGAAAGAAGCGATATTGTCATATGGAGAAGACATTTTCTAAGAACCATAAAGGAAATGAGAAACCAAAAAAAAAATATTTTATCTTGATGAAACATGGATCAACGAGGGTCATACACCAAATAAATTTTGGCAGGATGAAACTGTTACAAGTCAAAGGCACGCTTTTGTAAATAACTTATCTACTGGTTTAAACCCACCATCAGGAAAGGGACGCAGGCTGATAATAGTACACATTGGCAGTTCAGACGGTTTTGTTGAAGGTGGTTTATTAACTTTTGAATCAACTCGTACCGGTGACTACCATGAAGACATGAACGCTGATGTCTTTCAAGAATGGTTCGAACAAATGATAGATCTTCTTCCTAAGAACTGTGTAATAGTAATGGATAATGCAAGTTATCACTCCAGACTTATAGAAGGACTGCCCACAACCAAGTGGTTAAAAAAAGACTTGCAGAATTGGCTGAGTTCAAAAAATATTACGTACCATCCCGGATCTATAAGAAAGGAACTTTATTCGTTGTGTGCCCTTCATAAAGAAAAATTTAAAAAATACGAAATTGATGAAATTGCCAAAAATCGTGGAATGACAGTACTTAGATCCCCACCATATCATTGTGAATTAAACCCGATTGAACTGGTATGGGCACAGATAAAGAGTGAAGTTTCAAGAAAAAATACCACTTTTAAAATTCATGATGTTAAACAGTTGTTTTTGGAGGCCGTAAATAATGTAAAACCTGAAAACTGGGAAAAGGCAGTAAATCACACTATTAAAGAAGAGGAAAAAATGTGGAAGCTGGACAATATTACTGATAAAATGATCGAGCCAGTTATTATAAATCTTGGTTCTGAAAGTTCATCTTCTGAATCTGATTTGGATTTGTAACAAGTAGCTGTAAGTTTTATATTAATATTTTTATTCATCTATTTAACATACCTTAGACGGTTTTAAAAACTCTTTTTCTCTTTTGTAATTTTTAAAAATTAAAAAAAATGTGAATTTTTTAAAACCCTTTTTAATGTAGGCCAGTCAGTTCTAATATAGTGTGTGATAAAAGAGGTCACTTTTGTTTACATACACATAACACTTTATAACACTGAAATAATTCATTTATTTTTTACAATTATTCAAAGTAATTTTTCAATTAATCTTGAGCACGCCCATGGAGTGGTCGAAGGTACCAGTTAAAATTATGCTAATTACTCTCTCGTTCATAAAAATAAACTATAAAATATAGCAATGCGTGTATCATTAGAGTATTAATGATACTGATAATTTTTATGTAAAAGATGTTGATTGTTTCAGTGGTCCTATGTTAAGAGCATCTGGCATTAAATGGGATATGAGAAAAACTCAACCGTACGAAGTATATAGTGAGTTGGATTTTAATGTACCTGTTGGTAAAAACGGGGATATCTATGATAGGTAAGTGTTTACGATCTCAGTTAAAAAACATAAATTCGGCAAATTTTCGACATCATTCTCAATCGTGGACGGGCTATTGTCTCTTATGATATTATACGATTATTTGCTTTTTTTATTTAGTTTTTAAATCAAATTTACTTTGCTTAGATATTTAGTAAGATGTGCAGAAATTAGAGAATCTTGTAACATGATAATTCAATGCCTAAATAAAATGCCTGAAGGGGAAATTAAGACGGATGATCACAAAATAACTCCACCGACAAGGTCTGAAATGAAGGTACCTAACTCATTAGTATTTTTACGAGAAAATTTATGACTATAAGTTAAAGGATTCATTTAAATTTTCTTTTTCTTCTACTTTTTCTACTTATATATATATATATATATATATATATATATATATATATATATATATATATATATATATATAATATATATATATATATATATTATATATATATATATTATATATATATATATATATATATATAATATATGTATATATATATATATATATATATATATATATATATATATATATATGTATATATATATATATATATATATTATATATATATATATATATATATATTCGCTTTTGTAACGTCTTATGACGTTGTCTGATTCCCAAACGCCACTGTATTCTGTCTTAAGTTAGGTCTTCGTCCAGATTTCGAGCGCTAATCGCTTTCCTAACTCCCAGGTTCCAGCTCTGTGGTGGTCTTCCTCGTTTCCTCTTCTCTGGGGGTTGCCACATCATCGTTTTTTTTAGGCAATCTTTCGTCCCCCATTCGGCTCACATGCCCATACCATATGAGTTGTTTTCTCTCAATATCCTCAACTATAGTGCCCTCTATAAAGGGCACTTTTTCTACTTATGTTCATTATAACCTTATGTTCTGTGGGTCTTGTGTAAATTATTCGGAATTATTAACTGTCTATTTTTTCTAGTTTTAACTTTTCTAATTTTGTATTAGGCAAATAATTGACTCTATTAATAATGAATTTATCAGGTTAGAAATTTGATGTCCTCGATTTGTTGATCTCAGATCCTAACTATATTCACAAATACTTGTGATCGCATGTAATAAAATTTAATATAAAACACATTTAGTATTATTTAACAAAGAATTTGAGTTTCGAATTTTAGGACAAATATGAATAATTTATTCACAAAAATGACAGTTACAATTTTGGTGAAAGCGCTTTTGGCAATGTAAAATTTGGCGAGAGCCCTAGTTTAATTAGAATTCAGCAATCACTGAGAGATCCTCGTGAAATAATATTTATTATAAAATACTTGAATATCAGTTAAAAGGTAATTCTGAATTGGTTCAGTCATATGTATAGATGTCACAAATAAAATATTGAATTTTTTAAGTAAATAATAATTTTATACACAGTCAGTGATGCATTAAATTTCGTACTTGGAATTTGTAAAAAGTTTAGCATCCGCCAAAATTTACGCTGTCAAAAACGCTGTCGCCAAAATTGTAACTGTCATTATCGTAAAATGAATATTTATGTCTAGTAAATTTATTTGCTACACTACTTGCTATACAAGCTATACAAGCACATGTACTCAAAGATTTATTTTAAATTAAAGTAAAAATGATTCAAATGCAGTTTTTATCGACAAAATAAAACTCTATCGATTAAAACAAAAATTTTAATGTTTATTTATTAATTTTTTACTTAATTATTACTTACAAATATGGAAAGCCTACACTCCATTAATATAAATATTACTTGAACAATCCCTGTTTTAGTGATGTAGAAACAATGTGTACATAGTCTATTACAGTAACGTTTTTGTCATTTATTGCTTAGTTTCAAGGAATAATTTTCACTTTTGTTTAATGTTTCCCAACTAAAGAAGTAATACATTACTTACTTTGTTGTAGACTTCAATGGAAGCTCTAATTCATCATTTTAAATTATTCAGTCAAGGATTCCAAGTACCCCCGGAGCAACATATACTGTCGTTGAACATCCAAAAGGTACGTAGAGAACATCACAGCTATTCACAGATGTTCTTTAATTTTCATGTTCAGAGCATCTGTGAATATCCGCTCTGAAGATCCCTTTTATGGTGAAATACGTATAAGCGGATATACAGACGCACTAGACGCACTTTAGATTCCCCATGTCTCTTATAACATCTTTATCAACATCTGTTTTGCCTTGCAATTCTTAGAAGGCAAAGAATAAAGCAAAAATCTGAATTTGGTTTCGAAAAATTAGTTTACGGATTTATTAAATAAATATTCTTTTTATTTCAAGGTGAATTTGGTGTTTATTTAGTTTCTGATGGTACATCTCTAGTTTATAGATGCAAACTTCGTTCACCTAGCTTTATCCATTTATCCGGAATGGATTATATGGGTAAAAACCATTTATTGGCAGACGTCGTAGCTATTTTAGGTAAGTATATAAAATATGTTATGCTAGCTTTACACCAACAATCAGAAATTCATGAAGTCGCTTCAAAAGTTTCAATATCGCATCTTACCTTGTGAGAACCAAAGATTTCTTCACGGCTCAGCTAGTCAATTTTAGTTAATTTGGACTCAATTGCATTGATTCTGGGAAGTGAATACTTAAAAGATATTCTACAGCCTCATTTTCAGTGTCATATACTTCCCTTTGAGCGATTTAACTGACTTTATTTGTGTATTAGTGCCATTTCTTTTAAGAATTGTGTTAATCCTGGCATTGTGTTTGGTACATTCGAAAAATACTCGCATTGAAATGTTGCTATACTCACAAAAGGGGCTTTGAAATTGAAAGTGATGAAAAAAATTAAACAAGGAAAGATTCAGGGCAAACGAAGCGTGGGGAGACGATGTAGCTGCGCAATTTAAGAGACTGGTTCCAGTGCACATCTAACCAATTGTTTAAAGCAACAGCTTCAAAGATAAGAATAGCAATGATGATTGCCAAACTCCGACACACAAGAAGAAGAAGGCTGAAGAGCAACCACGGTGAATTTTAATTCTAGTAATAGTGAAAGCATTTGATTTGGAAGAAGAAAAAGCTAGGTGAGGAACGCTATTGGACAGAGTTAGATGAATTGAATAATAGTGATTGTTATGAGCATTAGAAATACTTTTATAATTATATATATTCAGGGAATCTACAGTATTTACTGCCTTACTATCTCTTTCTGTTATCCCATTCTCCATCGTTTAGGCCTCTCTTATTCATGGCGTCGTCTACTTCGTTCCTCCAGGATCTTCAGGGTAGTCCTCTTTTTCTCCCTCCTATGGGGCTCCATTCGCTTATTCTCTATATCCATCTGCTGTCGCTAGTTCTTCTTACATGTCCATACCACTTTAGTCTTCTTTGTTCTATACTTATATGTTACTATGTCTGTTTCTATTGATGTTCTTTATTTTATTTCGTCATTACTTCTATCCATTCATGTTATTCTGCAGCATCTTCACAGTCATTCCATCTGTTTGCTACTATCTTACTGCTGTTTTCTTGTTTATAATAATAATGTTTTATAAATCTGTGTTGTTGTCTTCATATTTAGGTGTCTATCCTACCATACTGAGTTAAGTTGTCGGATTACTGTTCTTGTTTGTCCTAGTCTTTGCTTAATTTCTTCCTCTGTTGCCTTTTTTGTAATTACAAACCCCAAGTATTTGAATTTTCCCTTTGTTTTGATTGTTACATTGTCATCAATCTGTAAATCTTTTATGTCTTCTTCACTTGTAGATAGGTACTCTGTTTTCGCGAGGTTAATATCTAGGCCAGCCTTGGTATATTCTTGTAGTTTCTTCATCATGTAGCTGAGGTCGTCTTGGTCTTGTACAATCACTACTTGATCGTCTGCAAAGCTTAACATAGGTATCGTTCCGTACCGGTACTCCCATGTCTTCGCATTTTCTTTTCCATGTAAGTCAAAGCTTTCTCTAAGTATATTTTGAATATGGTTGGAGATGTGGAACAACTCTGCAGGAGCCATCGAGCAATAAGACAAAAGAGGGAATCTAATCCTTATGAAAAGGAGACCAAAAAAGTGGCCTCTGATGGCGGACATATCCGGAAATGCGAATGCGCGAAATTTAAATTTTCCGACACTTATCAACAGTAGCTATATAATATTTTTCAGAATGTGTCTTAGACGAGAAAGTTTTAATTAATTATTAATGATAAGAGTCTAAAATGCGACACAATTGTTAAAAAACTTCAATATAAATAAGATTTCATGTGACATTTGGGACAAACAATAACATAACCCAACTAAATTTGATGTCAAACAAGGAGAGAGACTCTCTTTCCTTGTTTAATGTGGCCTCTAAAGATCGCACTTCCTGTCTAACAATATGTTTGCCCCCACTACCTTTACATTCCCTCTATTGTCTTATTGCTCGATGGCAGGAGCCCTTTTGTTGTGGTGAAGTCTCCTATGATTCTTGTTTCCATTTTAATATGACACTTTATTTTCTTTCTCAGGTCCACAAATGCATACTTTTATAATGATATCTTTAAAAAATAATTAACGATTTTATTTTTTAGCTACCTTGGACGTTGTTTTTGGTGATATAGATAGATGAAACAAATATAACTAGTAAAATAATACTTCAAATGTATCAAGGTATTGTTGTATAATGTTTTATAAAACTGTATTGTAGATTTGTAATTTTTGCAATATATATATCCAATTAATATTGATTAACAATAAACAATAAATAACTACTAGGTGTTCCTGAAAACCCTAAAAGTCTTTTAATAAGTGATAAATGTGTCCATATCAGTTTCAAAAACCAGGTAACATTTGGCCATCACGATATGTGTGTAGAGTGTATAGAGGAAAGTGAATCAGAGCAATGTGTGTATTTGGATATGGCTATGTGTGTATTTAGATATTGTTGGGCATATTTGAAAGCATGTGAGATAGCTAGTATTTCACCAGTGTGGATACTACACCAAGGAGAAATTTTAGAGAGTTCGATAGGCTGTTGTACAGTGATTACAGACTATCCAACACCACTTTCAATCTTTGACGCGTCAATGTAAAGAACTATGTTATATTTATTTTTGTTTATAGTTTTAGAAAGAGAATTCTTAATGTACTAGTACTGGTATCTTTCCTGATCTCTCTATGAGGGAAATAACATGATGTGGGAGTATGTTGCTCCAATAGGGATTATTGGAGAATGATGAATGGAGTTCCGGTCAGACAAATTTATATCTTTTAGTAACAGCTATAGAAGACCAGGAATTGTATGTATGTATAAATATGTTACATGGAGGGTTGTTATGGGGTTGGTGTGATGATGTAATTCAATGATATACTGGATTAGAAGAAATTGCAGCAACATAGGAGAGAAAGTTTTCTCGTCTAAGCAATAGAGGAGGTTCATTAGCTTCACAGTAAAGACTTTCCGCCGGACTAGAACGAAACGCTCCAAGACATATAGACGAAACATCCATAGTCGAGCTTGGAGCGGATTAGTGATCTGTAAACGTTCAGTAACGTAGTTTCTTCCACGCTCCAATGATAATGTGAGATTGTTTTGATTATATTTAACCTTTTTAGGCAAACTTCTTTAAATAATTGATGGATTCGACCGTTATTTGATGGAAATTCATGTTATGTAACACTAAAACACTGAAAACTTTGTTTTCAAAACTTCCACAACTAGTATTTTCAACTCTTATCACTACAGTTGTTTCGGCTGATTGCCTTTCTCAAGTGATCTATTTTTGGCATGCGTTTACACTTTATAGTCTTTATTGAAATAGGTTGAGGAGGGGAGAACTGTTTGTCATTCAGAATTATATCTGTGTTTTTTAGTTTGTTGATTTCCATAGATTCAAACAAAGATAGCTTAAGGCCTTTATTTTGAATGTCAAGAATTTTAAATTTGTCATTAAAAGAATGATTATACTCTTGAAGGTGAAGTGCGTATGTAGAATCTGTTTTTCCATTATTGAAAGTCCTTTTATGTTCTGCTATTCGTTTATTAAAATTTCTACCAGTTTGACCGATGTAAGTTTTGGGCACACCACTGTGTGTGTTTTTTATTTTGGCTCTTGTTTTTAATGTATTTGCCTAAGTTGTTATTTGTTCCTAAACTCATTGTTCCTGTATGTATTGTTTCCAAGTTGATCTTGAATCAAATATCAGCCCTAATATTTTGCAATTATCAACAACCGGTAATTTGCAGTTGTTGATAGTAATTTCAGGATTAAAACAGATTAACTTTGGATTTAGAGTGGGAGAAGATAACTCCTAGAGAAGCTACTTTGTTTTGTAGGTCATTTACTCCTAATTGTAGAATTTTACTAGTAGTTGCATTAGATTTACCATGACAGTACATTATTAGGTCATTAGTGGAGCTATATTTTCACTTCACTTACTAATCGAAAGAATGAATAAGGATGTGTTTAAAACTGAACCTTGAGGAATTCCATCATGTTGGATGTGTGGAGAAGAAAGCAAGTTATTAACAAAAACACTGAACGATCTAGATGTTAGAAAGTTTTTGATAAATGCGTATAGTAGCCATTCAGAAAGTTTGTCAAGGATTGCGTTTCTAGAGATGGTATCAAATGCGCCTTCTATATCAAAGATAGTTATATCAACAACAAGGAATTTATTAAGACCTTCATTAGACAAGTGCTTTAGGAATGCATAAGGAATGTTATCAGGCCCAGCTCCGGTGTTTCTACTATTAGCTCACGGATAGTGAAAGGAGAATTAAGGGATCTGCTATATCCAGATGATTTCTGTGTGAATATGTCAAGACGTTTCTTATTTAATGCTATCTAAAGTCCAAAAAATCGACTACAGGAAGCATATACGTTCTTGCTATAGAGGTCCATATTACTCCAAACATCTGTCGTTTGTCTGGAGTGTCTCTGTTACGAGAAAAATCTTATTTCCGTGGACTACCTTATTCTCGTCTTACCATACATTTTCTGTGGATTTCTGTAAAAACCAGTTTTGACAGCATGTCAAGCTTCTTTGTGGTTGTGGTGATTTCTTGAAGCCTTTACTAATATTGAACGTCTCCACGGATGGATCCATGGAATATTTAGAAAACAATTCGCTATTTTTAGCAAGACGAAGAGAAGGAAAAAATAAAACAACATATATAGTTTCATAATAGATAACACTTTATTTGTGGGCTATAATAGTAATTGAACTAAGTTGTTGAACTAAATCAGTACATTCTTAAATGACTAGAAATTCTAATATACAATAGATTTAACCCCAATATTTTTCACAATAGGTGCAACATTTATCCAACAACTGGCCAGGTTAAGTTTAGGAATGTAATCAAAAATTTTCTTTTTACACAAAAAACAATAGGATATACATGAACAGTAACAACTTTTTTAGTCATATATAATATAACATCCTTTGTCCCTTACAACAAAAAATATACATCTTGCTTTTTACATTTACGATAAAGAATAAAGGAGGTTTTTTAATATACTTTTTGGACTTACAACGTAATAAATAAATAAGTTTAAACTGTGTGGTCACAGATTGACTATCCACTGATTTTTGTGGAGAAAAACGATAGAATGACTAATTTTTCCACCGTGAATGCAGCATACCTCAATATGTTGAGAATTCTGCTCTTTGGTTATATTGTCTGAAAACAAAGTAATTATTAGAACCGGCGAAACTGCTTAGATATTTATACAATAACGTCTTAAATATTCAGGATTCAGTATTTGATTGGAAACGATATTTGTTTCCTATTTATAGAGATTTGGTACAAGTATTGTTATAAAGCTGAAATGAGATTAAAACATCATTTTGTTTTAAACAATAATTGATAAAAAAATGCCTAAAGGTTTGACGTTTGTACAATTGACATTTTGACATTGACAGACTGTACAATCTGTGTTATTGATATGTATTTACATGTCACTCAATAAAGCAATTACAATTTTATAGGAACTTTACACAATTTATTTAGTGTTTGTGCTAGTTACTAGTGCTATATTCTGCAGTTCAATTCAAAAAATAAATTTTTAAGCTTTATTATTTTTACAATTGGCAACAATTTACTAAGTAAGCAAAACTGATGTTTAATTTGTTTAAAGTTTTTGATGTTGGCAACTGCTTGCAAAAATATCTTGGGTGGACAAACATTAGTAAGGCAAAGATATATTGTCAAAAATAAGATTATAGAACGATAAAGGTGAAAAAAGAAGAAAAAATGTGGAAGCAAGGGAAAGATAAAAGCAAGGATAAAAGCTAAAAATGTAAGTAAGACTTTACACATTCTGGATTCATAGAAATTGGAAGAAAAACAATATTATTGATTTCTACCATGATGAAGAATCAGACTCATTCAATATGATCTGGGTTTGCCTTTCTTATAAAGATACCGAAACAATTGTGAAATGAACTCACGAAAGTATAGATTAAAAACTAAACTGATAAAAATTTGAAGCCAACGGCCAAACTATTTTTCAATAAGTTTTTGATCCATGTCACGTATCGAAATTCACGTTGAAATAAATCAAGATGAAAACATGTGTCTTGACTGGCCAGGAAACTCACCAGATCTGAATCCTATTGAAAATCTGTGGGCTGTTGTGAAAGCTAGACTTCTCAAAATAGATAACATAAAAAAATTAAAGCTTATTATAGTTAACTACCAAATATAGTAACAAGATGAAAAAAATCGGAAAACTTTAAAAAAGAACTTGTTGATTCTACACCTAAATGTGCTTCAGGAAGTTATAAAAGTGAAAGGAGAATATAATACTATTAAAACAATTTAGATTGTATTCTGATCTTTTTTTCTTCATCTGTAACCAATAAATATGGTGGGTTTCAAATTATATCTTGTCTTTAAACTAATTATAACAATTCTGTACTTGTATGTAAGGGAAACAATTTTCTAAACCCTTTTTTTAAACCTAACCTAAAAAATTCTTTATATAAGGTATATTTATTTAAAAGAACCCATATGGACTACATCACAGTCAGTTTAGAGACTACAGTACATTCAACCAACTTACATTTCTAAAAGATTAACGGAATTTGCAGAAAACCTAGAGTGTACTCTTTTTGAGGCGTCTGCGATTACGGATTAAAGTTTGGATTTTGGTAAATATATTTAACTTTTATTTTCAAATGAAAATACTTGTACTAAAAATAAAATAATTGTGGAAAACATTTTAACTCGTTTATCTACGGTTTTCAACCATTTCTAAATTTATTATCAAACATAATTAAATTACAATCGGCATTCCTAATGACCATTAGGCTAATTTGCTTAATGTGTTTAGGATCTTTGTAAGTGGTTATATTATATTTTACCTCTCAAGCACAACAGTTAGAAAGTTTCTGTGATATTGATCTAAACTCATCACGTGTTACAATTCATCACCGACAATGCCGGTGTATGAATATATTTCGCCTTTCCGACCGGTATCGGGAAGTTCCATGAACTTTCGATCCTCATCGGGGACGATTTAACAGCAATCTGTCCGTTCGCGGTCACTGTCATTTACGAGCTCCTACTGGAGCTGGCGGATGGCAAGACATCGGAGTATTGCCTAATGCTGAGGGGCATTGCCTCTCAAGCAACCAGCGGTGACCCCAAGGACCTGAAGCTCTAGTGGGTCCAAATCGGGTCCCC